TGTGTGTGTGTGTGTGTGTGTGTGTGTGTGTGTGTGTGTGTGTGTGTGTAGGTCTCAAATGTCACTTCCTCAGGGAAGCCTCTGCTCTTCCTTCCTTGTTCCTTAGTGTCTGGGTCCATAGTACTCAACTTCTCCTTTGTAACATGTTGCCCTGGTAGCTGAGCCTGTGTTCACAGCAACATCCTCATTTTCCTAAAATTTTGCTTTACTTTTGATGATGTGATAGATAACACTATCTTTTATAAGATAGGCAACTCCAGTCTTTTATATTATGTTATTTTAAAAAGATTTATTGTTTTATTTTAAATTTATATGGGCGTGTGTCTATGTGTGGGTATGAGCATGTGAGTGCAGGTGCCTAAGGAGTCCAGAAGAGGGCACCAGATTCCCTGAAGCTGTAGTTACAGACAGTTGTGAACCACTTGATGTGGGTGTTGGGAACTGAACTAGGGTCTTTGCAAGAGCGTTCTTAACTGGTCAGCCATCCCTTTTAAGTTTATTTTATTTTATTTTATTTTTTGGAGGCAGATTCTCTAGCCCAGGTTGACCTCAAACAACCTGTGAAGTTGAGGATTCCCTTGAACTTTTGGTCCTTTCTGCCTCTACCTCTCCTGTGCTCCGTGAGCTAGGTAAGCTAGGTGTGCCACTGTGTCTGCTTTATGTGGTGCTAGAGAGGAAACTTAGGGCCTTGCGCCTGCTGGGCAAGCATTCCACTAACTGAGCTACATCCTCAGCCCTAGACTTTCATTTAATTTTTTTTTTTTTTTTTTGGCAATACTGGGACTAGCACCCAGGCCCATGCACATACTATACCCTCTACCACCACCACCGAGTCACACCTCCAACCAAAACTCTAGTTCAGCACTATGTAAAGAAAAGAAAAAGCTGTACAGGGCGGTACACACCTGTAATCCCAGCACTCAGGGAGGCAGAGGCAGGTGGGTCTCTGTGAGTTTGAGGTCAGTCTGGTCTACAAAGTGAGTCCAGGACAGCCAAGGCTACACAGAGACACCCCGTCTTGGGGAGGCGAGGGGTGAGGAAGAAAAAAAGAAAAAGACATCATTTACATTTTAAGGGTTTGTTCATTTACTTGCCAAAACCCACACTGACTAGGCTTGCCCAATGTCCATCTGGCTGAGGATTCTGACTTAGGCGTAGTGGCTCCTTACCCTAGTTCACATGGCTACAGGGAGGGCGAGGGGTGGCTTCCGGGATCTGTAGCTAGGCTTTCAGAACAGTGTCACTCACCATGAGGGGGGGTACGCTGGAGAGTGGGTGCCAAGCCAAACCCCACATGTGTCCTTCTGTCCCCTAGGGCTTCCTGCTCCACGCTGACATGGCTGACAGCTCTGTACCACCCTCATCTGCAGCAGCCCCGGCCCCTGAGCCAGGAATCACTGAGCAGCCGGGGCCCCGGAGTCCCCCTCCGTCCCCTCCAGGCTTGGAGGAGCCACTGGATGGAACCAACCCTGATGTCCCACACCCGGACCTGGCTCCTGTTGCCTTCTTCTGCCTGCGCCAGACCACAAGCCCACGGAACTGGTGCATCAAGATGGTATGTAACCCATATCCTTTGGAGGCCAGGGTGTCCGTGCCTAGCTCAGGGGCCAGTGCGAAGGAAGGATCGGTAAAACTGCTTCCTGGCCACTGGCCTGCCAGCATGGTCCTCTAGCCCCCAGAACTGAGGTCTGCGGTGAGCCTCTTGGGCCTTTCTGAGTGGGCACATATAGCCATCTGGGGAGCTGTCAAGGATGGAGGCTGGACCTAGGGTCCTGCTGCTAGAAGCTGCTGATGGCTGCACATTTTTACTTCCTGCTAAGAATCAGCTCCCTCAGCAATAATCTACACGGGGCTCTGAACCCCTGAGCCCTGATTGCTTCTGAAAAGCTCTGTCTCTCATCACTGTTGCACTAGAGATAAAATTTCCAGTTCATAAACTTTGGGACCTACATTCAAGATTCTTCACAGGTTCCTACCCCCCTCCCCCAGGTTTCAGAGAAATGCCTAACTTAGCCCTCCAGGCCCTTGGTGCCCTGGCCCAGCCTCCTTCTCCATACTGTCCTCCTGGGCTTAGCACAAACCATTCCTTCTGTCGATATATATATATATATATATATATATATATTTTTTTTTTTTTTTTTTTTTGAGACAGGGTTTCTCTGTGTAACAGAGCCCTGGGTGTTGACCTGGACTTGTTTTGTAGACCAGGCTGGCTTTGAACTCATAGAGAGCTGCCTGTCTCTGCCTCCCGAGTGCTGGGATTAAAGGCATGGGCCACCACACCCAGCCTTTCCTTCCCTCTTCATCTGACTAAGTTCTTTGCCATATCCTTCAAATCACAGCATCCGTGTCACTTCCTCAGGCAGCCCTCCATGATTACCTGGGGCTCTTCATGTGGCCCCACATGAAGCTGTGGATTTTTTTTTTTTTTTTTACAAGATCTCATATAGCCAAGATTAGCTGTATAGCTGAGGATGACCTTGAACTTTTGATACTTCTACCTCTACCTCTTGGTACTGGCAGTGCTGTGTGGTGGGTTTGCTGAGTATGGATGGGCAGTGTCCCATGGGACCTCCATACAGAATGAGGTGTGGGGGAGAGGGCTCCAGAACAGGCACAGCAGGAACTGGGGACCCCAAGAAGGGAGAAGCTAGGGGTGTTGCTGGAGTAGAAGGGCAGAGTGAACTTGGCTGACCTCTGAAGAGCCATCTTGTGTTCTAGGAGCTACATTCTGAAGCCCAGGGTACACGGATGAACTGTGCTGTGAGAGTGGGTATCAGGATGCTAGTGGCTGTGGACCAGTGGAGAGGAGGCTTTGGGATCCCAACTGTGGCTCTGTGGCCTGTAACAAGGACCACCCAGGTCAAAGGTGCTGGATCTCAAGGCCACCCAGGGCAGGCAGGTGCATCTGACAGCAGGGCTGAGCTCATGCTGAGTATTAGGGATGCCTGGGAGGTTAGCAAGAGCCATGCTGGAGCCCAGGCCTGCTGCTCACCCTAGCTGAGTGTCTGGGTTGATGATTGCCCTGTATCCATGAGCTCTTAGAAACCAGTGGAGCCTTGACTGGAGGGAGTGGACCCAGAGATGCCTCCTTCTTAGCTAGGAGGACTTGAGTCTCCACTTGTCAGAGATAGCTCAAGGGATTGTGGGTACAGCATGCTCTGTAATTTCTTCTTCTCCTTCTCCTCCTCTTTCTCCTTCTTTTCCTTCTCCTCCTCCTCCTTTTTTCTGTCCCTGCTCTCTCTTTGACCACCCCCACCCCTTTGGTATTTTTGAGATAGGGTCTTTCTACATAGCCCTGATTGTTCTGGAACTCACTATGTAGACCAGGCTGGCCTCGAACTCACAGAGATCTACTTGCCTCTGCCCCCTGAAGACTGGGACTAGAGTTGTATGCCACCATGCCCAGATCTGCTCTGTAATTCTATTCACTGACCACTTTCATATTTTTTCTGGGGACCCAGATGGAAGGTAAGCCTGTCCTAGGCAGCCCCAAGGATTGGGGGATAGACACCATCCACACAGTTTTAATAAAGTGTAGAGGAAAACTTAGGGGTGTGCAGAACATGAGCAGATAGTCTTCAGGCCAAAGAAGTGATGAATTGACTGACCCTCCCTTCCTCCCTCCCACCCTTTCATCCTACTTTCCTTTTGAGACAGGGTCTTTATGTAGCTCTGGCTGTCCTGAAACTCACTATGTGGATCAGGCTAGCTTTGAACTCAGAGAGATCTGCCTGCCTCTGCCTCTCAAGTGCTGGTATCAAAGGCTTATGCCACCATGCCTGGCTAACATTTGAGTTGTCAAGGAGGAGGCTAGAGGAGGGAGACAGCAGGACAAGGTCAGAGTTCTATCTGACAGGTGATAGGAGAGCATTTTGGATGCTCTGAGTAAGTCACTAGAGCTCTGAGCTTCTGTTGGTAGCTGGTCACCGTGGTTCTTGGCTTGGGAGTCTGGCTCTGATAGTCTCTGGAAGGTCTGACTAGGCTGACATGGCAATGCTGTCCCAAGTGTCATCGAGAGGTCCCTACTTGGGAGGTGGCCAGTGTCCTTTGTGCTGAGTGTGCGTGACTCATTGTCGGCTCTTTTCTCTTAGCCCCAGTGCACTACTGAGAAGTCTCCTTCCAGCTTTGAGAGCCAGGGCCAGTGACACTCACCAGGGGGCAGTGCCCAGCACTGGAACGCAGGCTGTCCCCTGACTAGACTGGGCAGCTGGATTGCTGACCTGTTGTGTAAACAGGCCCTCCAGTCACTCTGCCTACTGACTTCAGCCTCCCTGTCTCCTCTGCTCAGCGAGTCCAGTTTGAGTAGGACTCAATGGGGTTGGCTGAGGAGGGAGAGGAGGGGCCTTTGGTGGAGCTGGGTGAAAAGAGATTTGGTGGCTGGAGAGATGGCTCAGTAGTTAACAGTGTGCGCTCTCTTCCAGAAGACCCAAGTTGGGTTCTAAGAACCCATGGACAGCTCACAACTCCTTCAGCTCTTGCTGGTTAGATTTTTGTCAACTTTACATAAAAACTAGCATTTGGGAAGTAGGAACTCAATTGAGAAAATATCCCCATCCACATTTCCTGTGTAGAAGCCTATGGGACATTTTCTTTTCTTTTTTTCTTCTCTTGTCTTCTCTTCTCTCTCTCCTTCTTTCCTTCCTTCCTTTCTTCCTTTCCTTCTTCCCTCCTTCCTTCCTGTGTGTGTAGCTCTGGCTATCCTGACACTCACTCTGTAGACCAGGCCGGTCTTGAACTCAGAGATCCGCCTGCTTCTACCCACTATGCACTGGGGTTAAAGATGTGTGCCACTATGCCCTGCTGCATTTTCTTGATTAATGGTTGGTGTGAGTGAGCCCAGCCCACAGGGGGTGGTGTCAGTCCTTGGCAGGTGGTACTGAGTTGAATAATAAAGCAGGTTGAATAAGCCGTGGGGAGCAAGCCAGTAAGCAGCACTCCACCATGGTCTTTGCTTCAGTTCCTGTCTCCTGGTTCCTTTTTTGACTTCCTATCTTGACTTCCCTCAGTGATTCAGTGACCTAAGAGCTGTAAGCCAAATAAATCCTTTCTGCCCCAGGCTCCTTTTGACCATGGTGTTTAAAGACAGTAATAGAAACTCGTATTCAAGCTCCAAGAGCTCTGACTCCCTATTCTGGCCTCTGAACACATGTGGCACACACATGCAAAATAATAAAAATAAATAAAAAAAAACAGACATTTAAGCGGAAGGGTGGGGCACAGTTCAGCCGCACTTCTTCTGTTCTGCCCTCTGCTGTCTTCCCTTATCCTCCTGCCATCCGCCCTTCCCTCCATCCTCCTGCTACCCACCTGCATCCCACCTTTCTCTCCATCCTCCTGCTACCCACCTTCATCCCATTCTTCCTTCCAATCTTTTACCATCTACCTGAATTCTTTCCTTTTACTCACTCTGTTCTCTTTCCTCCACTATCCATCTCCCATCTCCTCCATCTCCCATCTCCTCCATCTTCCTCCTTCTCCATCTTCCTTCTACTTTCTCTGTCTCCTTTCTTCCACCATCTAATTTCCCCTTTCCTCCATTTCCTTCTCTGCATCCCACACCTCCTTCCTTCCTTGTTTCTTCTGCCAACTCCTCTGCCTTCACTTTTAATCACCCTGCCTCCTTCTATCCTCCTCACCCTTCATCCATCCTGTCCTTTTTCTTTGTATTTCTCCTTTTCTCCACCCTCCATCTTCCTTCCTTCTAACTCCACTCTCCATTCTCCTTTTCTATATTCCTTCCTCCACATCAGTCTCTAGTCTTTCATTTCCACTGTTTTTTCTCTATGCTCCTCCTTCCTTTCCTGGTCCTTCATCCTCAGCCCTCTTCTCATCTTTCCATTCTTTATGTTTCATTCTTCTCTTCCCCATTTTGCTTTTTTCTTCAATACTCCTCTTTCCATATTTTCTATCTTCTTCTACTTTCTATTTCGCATTTTTTCTTCCTCTTCCTCCATTTTACTTCCTTCCACCTCCTCCACCTTCCACTTCCTCCACCGTCCTTCCACCTCCTTCATCTACCTCCTCTATCTTTCTTCTACCTCCTCTATCTTCCATCTTCTCTATCTTCCACCTCTTCCACCTCCTTCCAATTCCTCCATCTTATTTCCTCCACCATCCATCCCCTTTCTCCATTTCCTTCCTTCTCCTTCCTTCCTTCCTTCCTTCCTTCCTTCCTTCCTTCCTTCCTTTCCCCTCCCTTCTATCCTCCCCATTCTCCATTTTCTCCCTCCCTTCTTTCCTTTCCCCTCTTCTGGGAAAGTCTCCCACCCTGGATCATCTGATGCTGTCAGGGACAGCAGTTGCTGTTTCTCTATTGGAGTGGGGGACTCAGTTCTCAGCCAAAACTTTGGAGCACAGGGCTGGGGTGGTGCCAAAGCAGAGTGAGGTCAGGGATTCCAGGCTCAGAGACAATTAGTCTAGAAGCTTCTGTGAGGTTACAGGTAGGATTTAAGGTGGGGCGACAGGAAAGCTGGACATGCCAATAACCCAAACTGAAAAGTTCATGTTCCAGATAATTAAACTTGGCAGTTGGGATGCTGTGTGTCTGGGGTCCAGAGACCTGG